GGGCAGTCCTCACTTAGCAACACTAATTGGGACCAGAATTTCCCTTGCCAAGCAATATGGACATAAACCACAATGACAAGTGATTGCACCCCTTAGCAATGGCATTTCCAGGTACCATCATTAAGCAAATCCCATAATGTCATTAAGCGTGACTTCACGTGGTTAGCATTTGTGACTCCCTGCTGGCTTCCCCAGCACTTTGCTTGTAAGAAGCCAGCAGTGAAGGTCGCAATTACATGATCATTTGACTGTGGGTGCTTCAATATCATGATTGCAAGCCAGTTACCAAGAACCCAGATCATGAGCACGTGACTCAGCTCTTGGTGCAATGGGATGCAACGACTGAAAGTACAAAGACCCATCCTAAGTTCCCCTTGTTCAACACAGTTGTAAATTTGAGCAATCACTGAGTGAGTGGTTGTTAGGAAGGAGGAACCACTTTTAATATATTTATTATCTTGATTGTTTCTTCTTTATAAATATTCTATATCTATGTAAGAAAATTCTTGTCACAATTCACCTTTTTTCATAGTCATGAACGTAAATTGTTGTTCCAAGTTACAAATGGTTTCTTTACATCTAAAAATATCATGGCCATTTTCTTACCTTTCTGGTTTAATTACCAGTAACATTCAAAATACATTATCTCTTTAGTATCTCTTCAAGACAAATCCAGCCTGTTAAAGGCCGTTTCCTCTCTTTGCAATTACTGCTAAAAAAAGTCAATATAAATCGAGACATAAAACTCTATATAACTAAAGAAAGCTTAAGTAATTTCCCTCTTTATAAATCAAAGAAATTAAAGCTTTGTTCCAGGAACAAGGAATTACTTGACTGTCGAATTTCATTCATTTCCTAAGAATGATTTAAATCAGAATTTTCTGGAAGTTCTTGTAGTGCACTTCAAAAAATCTGTTTAGTCCTGGAGAGTTTTCTATTTCCATTTTTCAATTATATTTTTGTTTCCTCCTTAATAATTGGCTTATTAAAAGTTTCCTTTTGTTGTTGAGTCAGTTTTATAAATTGCATCTAAATACTCTTCAATCTGTTTTAATATGTGTTTGCTATATAATAATTTAATACGATTTCATGTCATTTTCCTTTATATTTTCTGTCCATTTTCGTATCCTTTCTGCATCTAAAATATTTCACAAATATTTAGAAGCCACTCTTACTTTTAGGTGACCTGTTTTGTTTCAGACTGATAGGCCCTCAATAGTTGAATTTGATATTAGGGGGAATTTTGTATGTTTCTGTGGTTACAATGAATTATTAATAACAATTTTTGAAAATTGGCGTGGTATTTTGTGATATTCTGAGAAAAATGTTTTCCTTTCTTTCAGGACTTGTCCTCGCGGATATTATCGAAAAATACTTTGTGTCCCCCACTCTCTTCAGGGTCATCCGATTGGCCAGAATTGGGCGTGTTCTTCGGTTGATCAGAGGAGCAAAAGGCATCCGAACTCTGCTCTTTGCCCTGATGATGTCTCTGCCAGCATTATTCAACATTGGCCTCCTTCTATTTCTGGTTATGTTCATTTATTCCATTTTTGGAATGTCAAACTTTGCTTATGTAAGGAAGGAATCTGGCATTGATGACATTTTCAACTTTGAGACGTTTGGTAACAGCATCATCTGTCTTTTTGAGATCACCACATCAGCTGGTTGGGATGGCTTACTGAACCCCATCTTAAACAGCGTTCCGCCAGATTGTGATCCTCATCTGGAGAACCCTGGTAGTCACGTGAAAGGTGATTGTGGCAACCCTTCTATGGGCATCTGCTTTTTTTGCAGTTATATCATTGTTTCTTTCTTGATTGTGGTTAATATGTACATTGCCATCATTTTAGAGAATTTTAATGTAGCCACAGAGGAGAGCAGTGAGCCTCTCTGTGAAGATGACTTTGAAATGTTCTATGAAACATGGGAGAAGTTTGACCCTGATGCCACACAATTTATTGCTTACGACACACTTTCTGATTTTGTGGATACCCTTCAAGAGCCTCTGCGAATTGCTAAACCAAATAAAATCAAACTGATCACTATGGACTTGCCTATGGTTCCTGGAGATAAAATACATTGCTTGGACATTCTCTTTGCCTTGACAAAAGAAGTTTTAGGAGATTCTGGAGAAATGGATTCCCTGAAGGAATCAATGGAGGAGAAATTTATGGCTGCAAATCCCTCCAAAGTATCTTATGAGCCCATTACCACAACACTAAAACGAAAACAGGAGGAAGTCTGTGCCATCAAAATCCAAAGAGCATTCCGTAGATATCTGTTAAAACGATCAGTGAAACAGGCCTCATATCTGTATAGGCAGAGTCAAGATATGGACACACCGAAAGACGATGCACCAGAGAAAGAAGGAATGATTGCGGACAAAATGAATGCAATGTATGGCTCACAAGTAGAAGTGGAAAAGTCCCCAGAAACAGCTCCATCTCTTGTACTTGAACCAATAAGCAGCCCCAAGATTAAAAAGGATTCTGATGCAATGAAAGAGAAGGACAATAATGGCAAGAAGGGAGATGACTCTGGAAAAACTAAAAAAAGTGAAAATGCCAAACGTAATGTAAAAGAGTCATCTGTATAATGAATACACATATAGACAACAAATGTTGGTGTATGGTTCCAAATGACCTTTTTCACAAAATCATTTTGGCATCTTCTATTTTAGTACTCAAACAAGGTTCTTTTGCCAGATTTTAGGTACTTCATACCACACTTCAACATTGAAAACAGAACCCTGTCTGGTTTCTGCTTGTTTGCTTGTTTTTAAAATTTACCCCAATGTGCAAAGTGTTTCCCCCCCTTCTTTTCTGATGAGGTAAATGTGAATTATCTTCTCATCTTGTGAAAAAACATCCTAGTTTCATGTTAGTTCATATGTTCCATAGAATGCTCCAGAATCAATTTTGATTATTCTAAGTACCAAATCA